TGTATGAATTAGGCGAGAACACTCCGAACTTGCCTCTTTTGGTGGTTCAGCCCATCTGTAATTTGGAGCACAAATATTCGAAGCGCTCGATGCAAAAGAAGGGCAACACCCCATGTCTTGTTTTCTTCACAATGACCATTGAGTTCTTATCACTTCGTGGGATTCGTGTCGAATTAAGCATCACTTTGTACAGAATGAAGTAAAGCTGGATTTCGAATGCTCCCTTAATAATTTAGTGTGACTCGACATTTCCTTCCGGAGAAAATGTTGTCTGAAAACCGAAGAAAAAGAAGATCGTTAGATTGTACAAAAACGACGTTGGCTCGCCGAACTGCGATTCCAAAGAACCTGTGCTAATCTTCCATCTGTATCGTCTTGACAGACATCGTCAGAATGAGAAACTAAGCTTCAAAAAGTAATGCACCTATATACTTATTTTTAGTTTATAAGTAGGTTTAACGGACTACCAGTAGATAATATAAATAAGAGGATTTAATCCAGTTTCATTCAGGGCAATATGTAACTGGAAGTTGAATTGTCCCACAATCATATAGGTGTGCAATGAATTTCACACAGCCTTGCTTCCAAAAGGCATTCCTACCAAGACTGGATTGGACTACAGTTTCAACTTCGCCCAGATTTCATCAGCACTCCTAGCGGGACTCTAACCTCATTTGTGGCAGTGCAGCGTATGATCTTGACACGATAACCACTACGCCACACCGCCATTATTGTTCATGTGTCATGTGGTTGATGGAAATTTCAAGGAAGGTCAGGCACTTTTCCATATCATATTCTGTGTCGGGATTGTCGATGAAGCAAAGTTGTATTTGCTATAGTTATTGACTATATTACTTATTATTAGTCTATGAGTGGAATTTTGAGACTACCAATAGATCATATATGTAAGATTTATTCTTTCTATTTCCTTCAAGGTGGGTAGTATTGAAAACCTACTACTTGTAAACGAAAAATAAGTAATATAGTCGATTGCCATAACAAATACAAATTTGTTTCATCGACAATCCCACAACAGAACGTGATATGGGAAAAGGTCAGGTCTTCCTTGAAAGTAATATACGTCCTGTGACTCGTGGCGATGTGGCGTAGTGGTCAATATGCCGAGATTATACGCAGCACAGCCCCAAACCGGGTTTGAGTCCCGCTGGGTGATGAAACTGGCACTTGCGAAGCCAAAACTGAAGTACACTTCTGCCTAGATGAAAATTCCTTATGGGAAATAAGGCTGTTCGAAATTCAATATAAGCATGGGGCCTATTCATATAATTATGGGAAAATTCAACCGCCAACCTTACATCTCCTTAAAAGAAATAAGGTGAATACATTCAATATACTGTACCAAAGGAATAGGTGATTTCTTGTGCCCAATCTTATGATCTTAAGGAGGCATTCCCTAATTTTGGATAGCTTCTTCATCCTAGCCCTATATTTTCGCAGATATGTGAAAGTGATTCATAAAAAAGGAAGTGGATATGGTAGCAAATGTTTTCTTATATAAATAAGCCACGTCTGCATGTTGAGGGGACCAAACAGGAACATCCACTGGAGGTTGTCCTGTTCAGGTGAGGGGCAACATGCGATTTTTTGAGGAAGTTTGATCTGGTTATCATCGTTATTGGTTGTGGCTATAGAGAGACCTGTTTCCTGTGTCACATTCATCGTAATTTATGCTAGATTCTGACCATTGAATTTACACATTTCCTGTCATTTCGCTGTCATCGCAGCCTACATCTTCAGTAGAAAACACACAAAGCTCATACTTTGTTGTAGAGTCGAATGCTAAAATTGTGTTGCACACTCTATCACATGCTCAAGATCAATCCCTAAATAGCCAGGATCGAGGACGCATAGTTAGCCGTTTGGATAAGACGGGTATTATGAAGGGAAGTGGAAATTATCTGATTAAATTATGGTGAACTGTATTACCTAAGAGAGCTAACATTTGGGATCAGGCAGTCCAGCAGACTGAATATGAAAAATGAGTGATTAAGCTTTATAACACCCCTGGAGTGTATTGGAGTTAATGAGGATAAGGTGGCATCAAGAGCAAAATGGATATATTAATTGAGAACCAAGGATACGGATCAAGTATAATGAGCAGGTACCAGATCACGTGTCTTTTAGTCGAGCTTGAATTCAGAGCTAGGGATAGCGATCCTGACCGATGATGCTGACTACGATTTTGACGAAACGTTTTGGAACTCATCAAGTTAACGGTCCGAGGCTGGAATATCTCATGGCTACAAAGGCAGAAAAAGCAGAACTGGTTGCGATCCTCAAAATCTCCCTGTCGTTAGGACCAATTAGCCAAAACGAGGTCAAACCAACTCTGTATGGTGAACGGCGACTGCGACTACATCAAAGGTCAATCCCCATCTTCGTCATCATATATGCGATGTTGTGTTCGCAAAACCTCCCTAAAAAGGGGAGAGAGTACCCTCTTTTTTCTATCTCAGCAAAACGCTGCTCTGGCACCTATCGACTTGCGCCTTGGCTACCGAAAATGTCCTCCTCTTGGTCCGTAGCCCCGAAAAATGTTACTCATGAGGAACGACCCGTCCAACGAGAGTCAGTCGGTAGAAGGAACGGGTCTTCACAATCTACCGCCTGTTAAATGGCTAAATAGTGTTTAACATGGACACGCATGCATACATGTACATGTGCATGTACAGGGTTCAGCTACCGGGCTTCAGTTGTCGTGGTGACGCTTTTTTTTGACAAGACCAAATTATGCACGTGCAGCCCCTACCCTATGCCTGGGTGGAGAACACTTGTTTCGCTTTGGCTCACTTTTCGAAAGCGATCATGTAAGGATGTGGGGTCTGGGCATGCCGGTTGATGGGACAACCGGCTTCTATATCGTAAGAAGCCCCAGCGTCTTGCATCTCTGATTGGCGGACGAGAGGAACAGTTACTATCTCAATAGGCGCCCTTTCGGACAGCCAGCAAGACAGATTTGACGGCTGTTTTGCTTGTCCCGGGCAGAAGACAGCCAGCCTAAGCAACCGTTAAATGGTCAATTACCACTCAATTTCCAACTCTAAGGAATCAGACGTCTGAGCGAGGGTGGGTCTTGGAGGCTGAAGAGTCAGTGGATAGAGCGGCTGTCAAGACTGGTGT